TGGGTTCGTGCTGCTGATATACTCCTGCCTGCCCCTTCACCCCTTTGCTTCTGTCTCCTGCTCACCTTCTCATCCCAGTTGCCCACTTTTCCCTTATTTGACCTTCATGCTGCTCTACTCTATATGCTTGCCTCCTTGTGCCCCGATGGTCATAAACAGGCACCTTTGAGGGCACTGCTCCTGATCCCCAAGTGCCCATTCATTCTGCAGCTGCTTCGTGGCAATGCCAGTCACCACAATCAAGTTCACTTATTTCTTTAAGCCTCACCTCTTTCCAAGAAGGACTGGAAACCCTTTGAGATTAGGTTGAGATGATCTTAGCACGTAAGAACTAAGCTCTGTGTCTGCAGGTTTCACGGTAGAGGAAATTAAAATCAGGATAAGAATGTGCAAACCAGGGCACCGTTGGTGATTTGTGAGATCAGAAGTTGTGGCTAGAATCTTCCTGACTATGGAGGAAGGCAGGCGTCCTGTATGGGGGGTGGTGTACATTCTGGACAGTTCGTGGAAGATAAGGGGATAAGAAGCTGAATCATCACGCCCTCCCATCTTCCTCTCTACTCTATGAGACCCTCCCCCTCCTTATTTTTATCTCTTCCCATTTTATGGGGGGCCTTCCCTATCCTGCCCTGAGTTGTAGTTAGTCACTAACTTCTCTGCTGACTCCCACCTTATCACATCTCAGCTGCCTATGTAAGCTCTCAGCTATCTAAGTAATTCTATTAGCCAGAAGTAATTCCAGAGTTTATATTAGTTCTAGGAAGGTGGCATGTAGCCCCTGTCTGACGTTTGAATTGAACTAAAATGTGAATCTCAATAAAAGCAACAATTTTCACAGCATATGCTAATAATGGCAATCCACCTTCTTTTGCATTTTCCCCAGAGAACCTGGGAATATCCTGAGCTTGGTGCTTTGGTGATTCTATTTCAGCTTTGGTGCCTTTAAAAAAAATTACAAATCAATTTTGAATGGTTTAAGTTCATGATTTTGCTCTGCAGCCCTAGCTAGGGGCAAGCTGAGCCTTATGAAATCTAAACTCAGCCTAACAGAATAGAAAATCTATAGACTTTAGTTAGAGTCACATAGTCCTGAGTTCAGGTGTGTCATTTGAGCAAATTATTCCTTGAACCTATTTCCTTATCTTATAATGAAGAAAATATTATCCACCAAGAAATACAGTTTGGGCATGTAAAACCCCCGGCACAATGCCTGATTAAAAGAGCAGCTGCTACTATCATTGTTACCCACTTTCTGTTCCTTTTGGGTAAGGGAGACTAATGTAATGTGGTATCTTGGCCTCTGGAGGGTGTTGGGGGGACTTGGTGCTGGGGAGATGGTAAGACTTGGAAGTACAGGCTGGGAGTAAAATGCAGGTGCCCAGGCCTGATGTCCTCTTACCTACCCCACCCTGCCCTGCAGTCCTGTCCAAGAACAGCAAGCCCATCCATACCACCATCCTAAACCCACATGTCCACGTGATTGGGGAGGACGCAGCATGCATCGCCTACATCCGCCTCACCCAGTACATCGACGGGCAGGGTCGGCCTCGTACCAGCCAGTCAGAAGAGACCCGGGTCTGGCACCGTCGGGATGGCAAGTGGCTCAATGTCCACTATCACTGCTCAGGGGCCCCTGCCGCACCGCTGCAGTGAGCTCAGCCACAGGTGCACTTGGTTGATGGGGGAGAGGGGCTGGGAGGGCCTGGGACAGACAAGTGGGGTCAGAGGAAGAAGAGAAGGCTGGGAGGTGGCCTGGGAGAGGAGACTTACGAAATCTAAACTCAGCCTAACAGAATAGAAAATCTATAGGCTTTAGTTAGAGTCACATGGCCCTGAGTTCAGGTGTGTGATCCCAGAGGACTGGCAAAACCTGGGCAGAATGGTTTCAATAAGTTACGCTTGGAAATCAGACAGATTGGGGTCTGGCTCCATGACTCCAAATTGGGTGACCTCAGACAGGCTACTTCCTCCCTAAACTGAGTTTCCTTAGCTGTCAAAAAAAGGCAGAGAGTGGTGCCTACCTCATTTAATCATTGTGAGGATTAAGTAAGATACTGTAAGTAAAACACTTAAGTGCTTAGCAAATGGGAGGCAGTTTTGTATTTAAACATTAGCTTCACCCACTTTCCCCACCTTCTCAGGCAGACTTGGCAACGTGTATAGCGTGCTGAAGTTACTGGAACTCATCCGTGTGCTCATTGTCCTCTGTTCTGTTACCACATTCTGTCCTGTTTGACAGGGGCATTAGGAGATTCCAGCCAGAGGTCGAACCTTCGCAGCCAGTGGCTCTGGAGGGCCTGAGTGACAGCGGCAGTCCTGTTTGTTTGAGGTTTAAAACAATTCAATTACAAAAGCGGCAGCAGCCAATGCACGCCCCTGCATGCAGCCCTCCCGCCCGCCCTTCGTGTCTGTCTCTGCTGTACCGAGGTGTTTTTTACATTTAAGAAAAAAAAGAAAAAAAGATTGTTTAAAAAAAAAAAAAGGAATCCATACCATGATGCGTTTTAAAACCACCGACAGCCCTTGGGTTGGCAAGAAGGCAGGAGTTTGTATGAGGTCCATCCTGGCATGAGCAGCAGGCTCACCCACCGGCCTTGAAGAGGTGAGCTTGGCCTCTGGTCCCCATGGACTCAAGGGGACCAGGCAAGAACTCTGACAGAGGTTTGGGAGCCGTGATGTGATTGCAGCTCCTGAGGTGGCCTGCTTACCCCAGGTCTAGGAATGGACTTCTTTGGAACTTGCATAGGTGCCTAGAATGAGGCTGATGAGAACATCGTGACCATCAGACCTACTTGGGAGAGAACGAAGAGCTCCCAGCCTGCTGTGGAGGCAGCTGAGAAGTGGTGGCCTCAGGACTAAGGGCCTGGACGTTGCTGTACTGTCTCATTTAGTGTAGAAAGGAAGAGAATTGGTGCTGCAGAAGTGTGCCCGCCATGAAGCCGATGAGAAACCTCGTGTTAGTCTGACATGCACTCACTCACTCATCCATTTCTATAGGATGCACAATGCATGTGGGCCCTGATATTGAGGCCTTATGCCTGCAGCTAGGAGGGGGAGGGGTTGCTGCTGCTTTGCTTCGTGTTTTCTTCTAACTCAGCAAGGAGAGAGCCGGGCCCTAGTCAGGGCTCCCCGTGCCGCCTTTGGCGGTTCTGTTTCTGTGCTGATCTGGACCATCTTTGTCTTGCCTTTTCATGGTGGTGGTCCCCATGCTGACCCTCATCGGGGCCTGGGCACCCTGCCAAGTGCTACTGTGGAATGGGAGGAATGAGGCAGTGGGAGAAGAGGTGATGGTCATTTCTATGCATTCAGGCTGCCCTTGGGGCTGCCTCCCTTCTTATTCTTCCTTGCTGCACGTCCATCTCTTTTCCTGTCTTTGAGATTGACCTGACTGCTCTGGCAAGAAGAAGAGGTGTCCTTACAGAGGCCTCTTTATTGACCAACTGAAGAATAGACTTACTGCTGGACAATCTGCATGGGCATCACCTCTCCCCGCATGTAACCCAAAAGAGGTGTCCAGAGCCAAGGCTTCTACCTTCATTGTCCCTCTCTGTGCTCAAGGAGTTCCATTCCAGGAGGAAGAGATCTATACCCTAAGCAGATAGCAGAGAAGATAATGGAGGAGCAATTGGTTATGGCCTTGGTTTCCCTCAAAACAACACTGCAGATTTATCTGCACAAACATCTGCACTTTTGGGGTAAATGTGGGTAGATTCCAGCTCTCTGGACTACCTTCAGGAGGCACAAGAGCTGGGAGAAGAGGCAAAGCTACAGGTTTACTTGGGAGACAGCTGAGAAGAGAGCAGACTCACAGGTGCTGGTGCTTGGATTTAGCCAGGCTCCTCCGAGCACCTCATGCATGTCCCAGCCCCTGGGCCCTAGCCCTTTCCTGCCCTGCAGTCTGCAGTGCCAGCACGCAGATCCCTTCACCACAGGGTTTCGTTTCGCTGGTTTGAAGACATATGGTCTTAGAATTTATTGAGACCCATAGCTTCATATGGCTGCTCCAGCCCTACTTCTTAGCATTCTTACTCCTCTTCTGGGGCTAATGTCAGCATCTATAGACAATAGACTATGAAAAAAAATCACCTTTTAAACAAGAAATGGAAGGCATTTGATGCAGAATTTTTGCATGACATAGAAATAATTTAAAAATAGTGTTTGTTCTGAATGTTGGTAGACCCTTCATAGCTTTGTTACAAGGAATCCTTGAACTGAAGATATTTAATAAAATAACCTCTAAACAGTCCATTGTGTTACTGCTGTTGGAGGCTTACAGCCAGAGGTGTAGATTTTAGCAGCCTGGGTCCTGCGCGGGTGGCTCACGCCTGTAATCCCAGCACTTTGGGAGGCCAAGGTGGGATCACGAGACCAAGAGATCGAGACCATCCCGGCCAACATGGTGAAACTCTGTCTCTACTAAAAATACAAAAATTAGCTTGGCGTGGTGGCGTGTGCCTGTAATGCCAGCTACTTGGAAGGCTGAGGCAGGAGAAACACTTGAACCCGGGAGGGGGAGGTTGCAGTGAGCCGAGATTGCCCCACGGCGCTCCAGCCTGGCGACCAAGCAAGACTCCATCTCAAAAAAAAAAAAAAAAATTCAGCAGCCTGGGTTACTAGGTTGGAGAGAGGTAGCTCCCCTCCTGCTCCCTTTGGGTCCTTTTGAGAATAAAACTTCCTCATGCCTATAATCCCAGCACCTGGGAGGCCGAGGCGGGCGAATCACGGAGGTCAGGAGTTGGAGACCAGCCTGGCCAACATGGTGAAACCCCGTCCCTATTAAAAATACAAAAAATTAGCTGGGCGTAGTGGCGGGCGCCTGTAATCCCAGCTACTCAGGAGGCTGAGGCAGGAGAATGGCTTGAACCCGGAAGGCGGAGGTTGCAGTGAGCCGAGATCGCGCCACTGCACTCCAGCCCCGGCGACAGAGTGAGACTCCCACTCAAAAAAAAAAAAAACTTATATACTCCTCAGCCTCCAACCAGTGCTAGGTACTGCGGAGGCGGGGCAGGGAGGGAGAGTGGGTGCCCTGGGGGCCGGCTAAGGGCATCGCCCCGCCCCTTGCCCCGCCCCTGGCTGGACCGCTCCGTTTCCTCCCCTCCCCGAGTGGGCCGGCCGGGCTCCCCCTCCGCGGGGCTGAGTGGATGAGCCCAGGCCTGAGCCCGCCCCTGTTCCGGAGCAGCTTTGCCAGACGCTCGGCGGGCGGTGCCATCGTGCGGGAAGGCGGGGGTGCGCTTCCGCGGGCGGGGCGCGGAGCCCGCCGTCTCGGAGGCTGCAGCTCGGCCAGGCACTGTGGAGGGCCTCTTGGTGTCCTGGCACCGAGGTCGCGCGGCTGCCCGGGCTGGAGCCGGTGGAACCGAGCGGGTGCCACTAGCGGCGGCGCGCCGCCTCCCCCGGTGGGAGCGGTGGTTGGGCCAGGCTGCGGCAGAGCGTTCTCTCAGAGATGGCGGAGCAGCCGCGACGCGGCCCGTGGCCCCGACAGCAGGGAAGCCGGGCAGCCCCGGGACGCGGCGGAGCCCGGGGACAGCGGGGACGCCGCCCAGTCCTACGGGTGAGCCGCCTTTGAGGAGACCCCCCCCACCCGCCCACCGTCGCGCTCAGTTCCCCCCCGCCCCACAGACTCCCTCCCACAGACTCCCTCGAGTGTAGCCACCATCACCACCAGCAGGGTCGTCCCGAGCGGCCCAGCTCGCGCCGCGCCCCGGGTTCCTTCCGCCGGCCTCCCTCAGAGCCGCCTCGCTCCCCTTAGGACCGAGCGGGCTCCCTCCTTCCCTCAGGATTCTCCCATCCCAGACCCTGTCTCGATGTCACTCTGGAGTAGCCTCCGCGTGCCCGTGGCTCCTTCCCCTTTAGTGTCCCACATCCGGGGCGCTCTTCGCATCCACCTGTGCCTGCGTCTCCCCTCGGCGAGGCCCCCCCGCCCGCCGGCCCCCAGCCCCCTCGGCGCCCCCGCCCGCAGCCTCCGCGCCGCTACTCTGGCCGTCCCGGCCTCCCCCAGCCCAGGCCCGGCCCCCGTTTGGCTTCGCCCTCCTCTGAGACCTCCCGCCCGGCACACACCCACCTTGCCCAGCCCTCCTGGCCCTCAGTGTTCACTGGCCCCGGCCTGCGGTGCCCGCAGTGCCCACGGTGCCCCTTCCCTAAACCTTGCTGCTGCTTCCAGGTATGAAGCTAAAATGCAGCGGCCAAGAACGCGGCTCTGGAGCTTGACAGGCCTGACGGCGAATCCCAGCCCTCCCACCGACTGAGCTGTGTGACCCTGGGCAAGTTTCTAAGCTTCTCTGGACTTCAAGTTACTCATATGTGAAATGGGGATAATGGAGCATGTACCTCTTCCCTACCTCTTAGGGCTGGTGTAAGGATTAAATATATGTAAAGCTCTTAGAAGAATGGCTGGCAAGTTGTAAGTTCTCAAATTTGGGGTGATATACCCTGAGTACCGACTTCCCGTCAGTGACCTCCTCGCTACGATGTTTTCTTTAAAGTTACATCAGATTCTTGGCATTCACCCCTTCCCGTCACCATTTTGATCCTCTCCCCCAGCTCTCTTCTCATGTGGTTAGTTTTACCTGGGCCAAAGCCGAACTGTTTTGTTTTGTTTTGTTTTTTTGCCAGAGTCTCACTCTGTCACCCAGGCTGGAGTGCAGTGGTGAGATCTCAGCTCACTGCAACGTCCGCCTCCCGGGTTCAGGTGATTCTTCAGCTTCAGCCTCCCGAGTAGCTGGGACTACAGGCGCCCACCACCATGCCCAGCTAATTTTTGTATTTGCAGTAGAGATGGGGTTTCATCATGTTGGCCAGGCTCGTCTCAAATTCGTGACCTCAGGTGATCGGTCTGCCTTGGCCTTCCACGGCACTAGGATTACAGGTGTGAGGCACCATGCCTGACCTGAACTGTTTTTAAATCATCTCTTGTCAATTCTGAAAGACCCCAGCTCTGCCTTATCACCCGAGATGTGTGTATATGGGGGTGGGTGGTAGAGACAGATTGCCAGCCTTATGAGGAGGCTGAGGTGAGGATAGTGACAATAAAACTTTTAGAAGCAGTCGATTTAAGAAAAGGAACATAAGAAGCTGAGGCAGGAGGATTGCATGAGCCCAGGAGTTCAACAGCCTGGGCAACATAGCAAGGCCCCATCTCTTAAAAAAAAATTAAAAATTAGTAGGGTGTGGTGGTGCACAGCTGTAGTCTCACCTACATGAGAGGCTGAGGTGGGAGGATCACTTGAGCCCAGGAGTTCGAGGCTGCAGTAGGCTATAATCACACCACCTATTCTGAGTGACAGAGCAAGACTCCATCTCAAAAATTATAAATAAAACAAAAGAGGTCCCCAAAATTAGGCTTCCTTAAAACTGTGTTTTCTGATCACACTGTCCTGACTCTTTTTTTCTGTCATTGGCTGGATATGACTTAAGTTCCTATTGCTCTCTGTCATCCAGTCCTTACTCAAGTTGTCCTATTTGTGTAACTGGCTTCAATACCTCATGTCTCTCCAGGCTAGTTCAGGGATTCTTCTGAGCTGTTCAAGAATAGGGTTGTAGAACCACTTTGGCTAAGTTAGGAAGGAGAACTAGAGTGGACTCAGCTGTCTGGCTTTTCTCAGCGCCCAGTGTATGGCCTGCTCTGGGGTTACATTTTTATCTCCTTTCCTGACCGGCATAGTTGATGTGAAGGTCAGGGGCAGGTAATGTTTCACAAGCAACGGGTAAGGGAGTCCTAAGTTCTGGGTTTGGAAACTGGTAGAATGATTAGCTATCATGAGGATCACTCTTTCCTTTTGAACTCCCTCACCATAGTGTCCGCCTGACTGCAAGTTCGTTAATTCTGTTGGCTGTGATGTTGGGTTTGATCAATGAGGAAGATTAATAGACTCATGAGTTCCTTCTTATCTGATATTTCATTTGAGCATGGGACTTCTGGGGCTTTCTGAAATAAAGCCCCCAAAAGGGGCTTCCTCACAGAAAGATCAGAGCTGTTGCTTGCTGGCCAACTGCTCAGTCACAGGCTAGGAACTCCTTTCAGAGCAGGCCTGTTTTTAGCCTTCTAGGATGTTTAGCCTCTTGTTGATGGGAAATTAGCTCCCTTCTAGCATTTGCATATACTGCTCCATCTCTGAGCTTTGCTTATCGAGGAGAATTTGGACATTCATTTGGGTGTCTAAGAAAGGGAAAGGGAACAAGCTGTGAATAGGCCTCAGCTTGTGTTCTCCTACAGTAGCCTTTTTTTTTTTTTTTTTTTTTTTTTTAGAACAGATTAGCCAGTAAGCAGGAGGTAAGAGATGGGATGGGGAGGAGAATGGATTAATGACAGTTTCAGAGAGAAGAGTAACCCACTGATTTCTCTCTTACAGGTAGGCGTGCCAGAGGTTGAACTTTACTGACCTTTGATGTGAGGCACTCAGCCAGGGCCAAGGGGAGAGCCTGGCAAGATTTGCAGCCTGAAGCCATGGGCCAGGGGGCCATGGTGACCTGAGACTAGTGGTTTCTGTATAGTGGCCCTCTGCTTCCCCCTCTACCTCCTTTACCCTATACTAAGGTGACTCGTTGCCACCTCTTAAGGAAACGGCCCCTAAGGGAATCCCTTGCCCCTATTTTCCTGTCCTTCTAGCCTTCCAAGACAGTCCTAGCCTATAGAACTCCTACCTCCCATCCCCTAAGGGGGTCCCCATTCCCCCCTTTTTTCGTCCCCCCCGCCATGCTCCAGTTGTGGAAGGTGGTACGCCCAGCTCGGCAGCTGGAACTGCACCGCCTCATACTGCTGCTGATCGCTTTCAGCCTGGGCTCCATGGGCTTCCTGGCTTACTATGTGTCCACCAGCCCTAAGGCCAAGGAACCTTTGCCCCTGCCTTTGGGAGACTGCAGCAGCAGTGGGGCAGCTGGTCCTGGCCCTGCACGGCCTCCAGTTCCACCTCGGCCCCCTAGGCCTCCAGAGACAGCTCGAACTGAACCCGTGGTCCTTGTGTTTGTGGAAAGTGCATACTCACAGCTGGGGCAGGAAATTGTGGCCATCCTGGAGTCTAGTCGTTTTCGGTATAGCACTGAGCTGGCACCTGGCCGAGGGGACATGCCCACATTGACTGATAATACCCATGGCCGCTATGTCTTGGTCATTTATGAGAACCTGCTCAAGTATGTCAACCTGGATGCCTGGAGTCGGGAACTGTTAGACCGGTACTGTGTGGAGTATGGTGTGGGCATCATTGGCTTTTTCCGAGCCCATGAACACAGCCTACTGAGTGCCCAGCTCAAGGGCTTTCCCCTTTTTTTACACTCAAACTTGGGGCTCCGGGACTACCAAGTGAATCCTTCTGCACCCCTACTGCATCTCACACGCCCCAGCCGCCTAGAACCAGGCCCACTGCCTGGTGATGACTGGACCATCTTCCAATCCAATCACAGTACATATGAACCAGTGCTTCTTGCCAGCCTTCGGCCAGCTGAGCCCCTGGTGCCAGGACCGGTTCCTCGTCGGGCCCGGCTTCCCACTGTGGTACAGGACCTGGGGCTTCATGATGGCATCCAGCGGGTGCTCTTTGGCCACGGCCTTTCCTTCTGGCTCCACAAACTTATCTTCGTCGATGCTGTTGCATACCTCACTGGCAAGCGCCTCTGCCTGGACCTTGACCGCTACATCTTGGTAGACATTGATGACATCTTTGTGGGCAAGGAAGGGACCCGCATGAAGGTGGCTGATGTTGAGGTTAGTCTTGTCACTTAAATTTCTTCTTAGAAGCTACTCATACTCTGGCCTGTCAGACTCCCTTGATTCGTAGCTTGTCATAGGTATACTCTCTGCCTTTCCAAGCAGGAAGAATGCTACTTCTCGTGTTATTACCTGTTCGGTCTGCTCTCCTGATTTCTCATGTCTCTGCTACTCTTCCCAGGCTCTGTTGACCACCCAGAACAAACTCAGGACCTTAGTCCCCAACTTCACCTTCAACTTGGGCTTCTCGGGCAAGTTCTATCATACTGGTGAGCTTATTCTCCTACTCCTTCAGCATATCATAGTTTGATCTGTCCCTTTACTGTCTACCTCCATGGATAGACAAGTTGGATAAAAGGGTCAAGGTTTGGGGTCAGACTACTATAAGGAGCCAGTGGGCATGAATTTAGGTTCACATGGGTGGCTGGAGGGCAAATTGGCAGTGGGGCAAATAGAATGTCTTAGGCAAGGATCAGTAGGGTTGTCCCAGGGATGGAAGTTGGTCAGTGTTGTTACAAAACAAAGGCGGGAACAGGGGCTGACCGGCTGTGGTCAGTGGTCAGCGTGTGGTCATAGGGACAGAGGAGGAGGATGCAGGGGACGACATGCTGCTGAAGCACCGCAGAGAGTTCTGGTGGTTCCCCCACATGTGGAGCCACATGCAGCCACACCTGTTCCACAATCGCTCCGTGCTGGCTGACCAGATGAGGCTCAACAAACAGTTTGCTCTGGTGAGACTGTTGGATCTCTTCCCCATACTTTCTCCCAGCCATGCTTCCTTTTCAACCTTCCCCCTATGGGCTACCCTTTTTCTACCCTTTGCGTTTTTCTTTCTGTGGAGGCTGCCCCACCCTCTTTACCCGCCACTCCCCAAACCTCACCAGGTCGGTGAGAGTCTATGCCATTCCCAGGAGCATGGGATTCCCACGGATCTGGGGTATGCTGTGGCCCCCCACCACTCGGGCGTGTACCCCATCCACACACAGCTCTATGAGGCCTGGAAATCTGTGTGGGGCATCCAGGTGACCAGCACTGAGGAGTATCCCCATCTCCGCCCTGCCCGCTACCGCCGTGGCTTCATTCACAATGGCATTATGGTGAGGACTCTCAATATAAACTTGAATCAAACTCGCACATTTAAACAGCTTTCAACATGCATTGACCTATGTTCTGTCAATTGCCAGTCCAAGTATGGGGGTACATAAGAGGGGGTAGAAGGATGAAAAAATTTAACACCATTAGTAAGAGCTTTATTGGTATAACTTTAGACTGAGTCCTTTCCAAATCCCAGTGTCCTTCATCTACTTCTCATTCTATCTTTCAAATCTCATGTTTCTTCTTTTCCTTCCAGGTGCTTCCCCGGCAGACATGTGGCCTCTTCACTCACACAATCTTCTATAATGAGTATCCTGGAGGCTCTCGTGAACTAGACCGAAGCATCCGAGGTGGAGAGCTCTTTCTAACAGTGCTGCTTAATCCGGTAAGGTACCAAGAGGAAGGGCTAGAAGATTGTAGAGCCAAGGTGTTTGCAGGCTGGGACCTTTACTCACCAAGTCTATTTCAGAGGTGGGATAGGCTCTCCAAATCTGACATGCAGGCACCCCCTTGCAGATCAGCATCTTTATGACCCATTTGTCCAATTACGGAAATGACCGGCTGGGCCTGTACACCTTTGAGAGCTTGGTGCGCTTCCTTCAGTGTTGGACACGGCTGCGCCTACAGACTCTTCCTCCTGTCCCACTTGCACAGAAGTACTTTGAACTTTTCCCTCAGGAGCGAAGCCCCCTTTGGCAGGTAAAGGTGGAGCTCAGGCTGATGAGAGACATGATAGGGGTAGGGTTTTCTTGTTTGTTCGAGACAGATCACTGTGTCACCCAGGCTGGAGTACACTGGTAAAATCTCCACTTACTGCAACCTCCACCTCCCGGGTTCAAGCAATTCTTCTGCCGCAGCTTCTCCAGTAGCTCGGATTACAGTCACCCGTCACCACACCTGGCTAATTTCTTGTTATTTTTAGTAGAGACAGGGTTTCGCCATGTTAGCCAAACTGGTCTCAAATTCCTGACGGCAGGTGATCTGCCCACCTCGGCCTCCCAAAGTGCTGAGATTACAGGCATGAGCCATTGCACCCAGTTGGGGTAGGAGGGGTTTAAGACAAGACTAGGCATCTGAGTCATAACACCAAAAAAAAAAAAGATAAGACTAGGCCAGCTGGGCGCAGTGCCTCACACCTGTAATTCCAGCACTTTGGGAGGCCAAGGCGGGCAGATCACGAGGTCAGGAGATCGAGACCATCCTGGCTAACACAGCGAAACTCCATCTCTACTAAAAATACAAAAAAATCAGCTGGGCGTGGTGGCATGCGCCTGTAGTCCCAGCTACTTGGGAGGCTGAGGCAGGAGAATCGATTGAACCCAGGTTGCGGTGAGCCAAGATCACGCCACTGCACTCCAGCCTGGGCAACAGAGTGACACTCCATCTCAAAAAAAATAAATAAATAAAAAGACTAGACCTTAACTGATTCTTGGCCCTGCCTTCAGAATCCCTGTGATGACAAGAGGCACAAAGATATCTGGTCCAAGGAGAAAACCTGTGATCGGCTCCCAAAGTTCCTCATTGTGGGACCCCAGAAAACAGGTGAAATATTCTTAGCTAACTTTTCTTGCCTTGCCTTAAACCCAAAGAATCCTTTTGTCAAGGAACTCTCTTCTCTCTCCAGGTAATCACAGGGATGAAAAAAGTATTTTTATTTTTTTTTTTTTTGAGACGGAGTCTTGCTTCTTCGCCCAGACTGGAGTGCAACAGCACCATCTCAGCTCACTGGAACCTCCACCTCCAGGGTTCAAGCAATTCTCCTGCCTCAGCCTCCCCAGTAACTGGGATTACAGGCACGTGCCACTGCGCCTGGCTAATTTTTGTATTTTTACAAATACGGGGTTTCACCATGTTGGCCAGGCTGGTCTTGAACTCCTGACCTCAAGTGAGCCGCCTGCATTGGCCTCCTAAAGTGCTGGGATTACAGGTGTAAGCCACCGTGCCCTAATTTGAATTTTTAAGGGAGAAAGAAAGGAACTCCCTTTATACCCACCCCTCATTGATCCAATCTCTTGGGGTGGTGATTCTTAAACCCTGGTTGTGTATCAGAATCATCTGTGAAGTTTTTACAAGATCCACAAGTCATTCTAGTACAGTCAAAGCTGAGAATTGCTCTTTTAGCCCTTCCCTGGGCCTCCTATCATTGTAGTTTGGCCAAAGGGGATTTTCCTACCCCGAGTGGTTATTTTTTCACTTCCTTCAAGCTCATGCTGTTGAGCTGGCTTCCTTCCCATAGTGGCCTTTCTCTCCCATTTAGGGACTACGGCTATTCACTTCTTCCTGAGCCTGCACCCAGCTGTAACTAGCAGCTTCCCTAGCCCCAGTACATTTGAGGAGATTCAGTTCTTCAACGGCCCTAATTACCACAAGGGTATTGACTGGTGAGACTGGGCCCCATTTGAATGTTTCTCAGAGGAATTCCCTTCCCCCAAAATACCCCATTCCAGCTTCCCTCAGCAGACTTCTGGCCACTTCACTCTGCATATTTTTCTGCTTCTCTCTCTTCTGTGCTACTTCCTAGGTACATGGATTTCTTCCCTGTCCCTTCCAATGCCAGCACTGATTTCCTATTTGAAAAAAGTGCCACCTATTTTGATTCAGAGGTTGTGCCACGGCGTGGGGCTGCCCTCCTGCCACGAGCCAAGATCATCACTGTGCTCACCAACCCTGCTGACAGGGCCTATTCCTGGTACCAGGTCTGCCTGAGGCTAGGGACACAATGGGTTAAAGGTTGGGGGGTGGTGCAGTGACTGCTAGAGAGGGAGAAAGGAGTGAGGGTAGAGAAACTTAACTAGTGCCTTGGGGACAGGTGCCTATGCTGTACTGTCTGTCACCAGACCATGCATAAGAACAGAATAATACTGTCAAATCACCAGTCCTTCACCTTCCTTCTCTTTGTCCTTCAGCATCAACGAGCCCATGGAGACCCAGTTGCTCTGAATTATACCTTCTATCAGGTGATTTCAGCCTCCTCCCAGACCCCTCTGGCACTGCGCTCCCTGCAGAACCGCTGTCTTGTCCCTGGCTACTATTCTACCCATCTACAACGCTGGCTGACTTACTACCCCTCTGGACAGGTATAATCCCTCCAAGAGCCCTCAATGGCGTTCCCCTTCCCCTCTTCTTCCCTTCAGCCCAGAGGCTTCTTAGGAATATAGAGGGAACCACATCCCTGTCCCTTTAGTTGCTGATTGTGGATGGGCAAGAGCTGCGTACCAACCCAGCAGCCTCAATGGAGAGCATCCAGAAGTTCCTGGGTATCACACCCTTTCTGAACTACACACGGACCCTCAGGTGGGAGAGCGTGACCTAGGGGAGGAGTACTCTGTGGGAAATGGGGAATCAGGTTGACCATGTTTGTTAGAGACATGGGTTTCCTCTGTCTCACAAGGAGAGACATGTCCCTGTGGGCAGGGAGGGGTGTTGTGCATTTATGGAACTTGAGTTTCTCTTCTCCCTGCCACTTCATGGCCTCTTCCTGTTGAGCAGGTTTGATGACGATAAGGGATTTTGGTGCCAGGGACTTGAAGGTGGTAAGACTCGCTGTCTAGGCCGGAGCAAAGGCCGGAGGTACCCAGATATGGACGCTGAGGTAAGTAAAGGCAGGGGCAGGGGATCCCACTCCACTTCCAGGATCTGATTCTGTGTCCAACTAGTGTCCCACTCCTTACTGTTTCTGCCTTCATTTTTCTCCTGTCAGTCCCGTCTTTTCCTTACGGAATTTTTCCGGAACCATAATTTGGAGCTGTCGAAGCTGCTGAGCCGGCTTGGACAGCCAGTGCCCTCATGGCTTCGGGAAGAACTGCAGCATTCCAGTCTGGGCTGATGTCCCAGCCTCCTGTACCAGCAAAATACCCCCTGCTTCCCTATGGGGCAAGCCCAGACCAGGGCCCACAAGGGGGATTAGAGTGGCCTGGCCCCTCCCTGTCTACCTCAGTAGCCCCCAGGCCTGAGATGGCTTAGAAGGGAAGGGTATGCTTTTCCCATAGTTCTTGGGCCTAATAAAGGGGCTTCCTCTGGTACCCTACATCATGGTACTAGGTACCTTTGACCTATCATCTTGGGAGGTGGGTAGGAGTAAAAGGGTCCAGGCAGGGTGTGGAGGAATATATTAGTCCAATGAGATTTCCCTCTTCATCCACAGCAGTGTATCTATACCTGGCTATGGGAGGGACCCTTTGCTATGGCCCCTTTAGTCAGGCAGTGGGATCTACCTGTGGCCCGGCCTCCCTAATGTCATTCACATTGAATGGGGATGAGGTCGGAGAGTGGCTCATAGAGCTAAGTGAGTCCTAGCTGTGGGCTAGAAATGTCCTTAATAAACATCCTTATTTTTCTGTTTTGTCTGCCTCACTGGAGTGAGAAAAACCTAGACGAAAGGAAGTGTCATTTTCCCCCCAGTTCATCTGCACATGGAGGGAAAGAAGGGAAAGGCCCAAGTCGACTAGAGTAAAAAAGGAGTTTATATATTTATAAATGCCAAATAAATACCAGAGGCCACCCAACGCCCCCTCCCAGACAGGGCTGTCTCCCCCAGCCCTAGGCTTCTAGGGTCTGAGACATCTTGGCCCACAGCCACAGCCGAAGAGCAGCTGTCAGTCTGGGCTACCAGGGAACTGAGTGAGGATGATCTGTCCAGCCAAGATTCATTCCCCCTGTGTGAGGGGCCCCCATAGCCACAGGCCTGCATCCCTGTATAGGACCCTAGGGGTAAAAGACTCAGGGGGAGAAGGTGGCCATCTCTAGTGAGACCCGCTGCCACAGCTCCTTGGTCTGTTTGCTGCGCTTGAGGTTCTGCAGGATGTCGTTGAACTGCATCATGCCCATGGGCGTCAGGCAGAAGGCGCTGCGGGCGCTCCGGATCGCATTCACAAAGTCGTCGTAGTCCGCAGGGGTCAGGTGAATCAAGCGGTGGTGGATGTACTGGAGGAGGATGTGCGCAGGATGAGCCTTAGTACAAAGCACAGAACCAGGTCCTGCCTCCCTTCCCTCTGGTCCTAGACCACCCAGGAAGTGCTCTACCCTGCTGTATACTCTGGGTTGTCACCTGCATGTATGCCTGCTGGCAGCGTTGCACCAGTTGGTGGAAGGCCGGGGCACGCAGGTGGTTGTGGGCATGAGCGGGACTCAGCCGCTGCAGCGTCTCCATGACGATCTCCTGCAGCACAAACGGGCTCAGCACCCCCTTGGCTGCCCCCACACAGAACTGGTGCACGTAGTTCACTCCTGGGGGGCAGGGGGAGGGGCATGAGACGGGGGTGGCCACCTCTGCCCTAGGGACCCGACTTACATATCTCAGCTCTGGCCTGGCAGAGAGCCTCCCTCCACCCCAGGAGCTGAGGTAACCCTCCGCCCCCCGCGCACGCACACATACCCGACCAAGGCCTCAACTCTGAGCAAGAGCTAGGAAGGAGGTCTGGGATAAGGAAGGTAGGGAGAGCAGGTGGGGGGGGGCAATGGTCCTAGGGAGGGGAGGTGTTACCCAGCTTTGCTGCCAGCCCCAGCAACCATTTGACATCATCAGTGTAGGGGGGGGAGCGGGAGAAGTTGTTGGGGTGATCGTTGTGTGCCCGGCGACCCAGCATCTCCAGTGCCAGCATTCCTGGGAGATAAGGGTGGGCACATGGTAGGGTGTATTCTCTTCACCCTTTACCCCAACCTGGCACCTGACCCCACAGTAAACAAATTAAGAGCTAGAGGAGGGGTCCTCTGAAGAGCCACTGCCACAACTGCAGGTAAGAGCACAGAAAGGGACCTCCTCTCACCGACACGGTAGGCAGCGTGCAGGTGGTGCAGGCTGTGGGGATTGACTGGCTGACTGTGCGTCTCCTCCTCGGGCGGTGGAAAACCTCCGCTCACCAGAGGGCTGGGCTGTGTGGTCAGGGCAGGCAGCGAGGCACCCTGGATGGCCGGAAACGTGGATGCTGGATGGACACTGCTCACTAAGAGTGGGATGAGAGCCATGTGAGGAACTCGGGGCCCAAAAAGAGGCAAAGAAGAGTCCCTCCCTACCTCCCCTGCCCAGTGTGCCTCCCCTCCATTCACCTGTTCCCTGGCCCCACAACTCACAGGCCACACTGGTGGGCAGTGGAAGCCCTGGCTCTGTGTGGTAGGGATGTACTGTGATGGGTGCCATGGAAGGGACGGGGAAAGACACAGCAGTAGCAGCAAGTGAGGGAGGAGTCACTGAATAAGGGTACTGAGCCCCCAGGAATGCAGGATGCACACCCTAGGGGCAGGGAGAACAGAGGGAAGATGCCAAGTTCGATTAGGATGTAGCTCTCCTGCTTCACCCCCATAAGTTGCTATCCTGACATTTATTTTTATTTATTCATTTATTTTGAGATGAGGTCTCACTCTGTCACCCAGGCCAGAGTACAGTGGCACGACAGCTCACTGCAACCTCCACCTTCCAGGTTCAACCAGTTCTGTCTTGGCCTCCCGAGTAGCTGGATTACAGGCGTGCACCCGGCTAATTTTTGTTAGAGACCGGGTTTCACCACGTTAGCCAGGCGGGTCTCAAACTCCTGACCTTAAGCGATCCACTCACCTCAGCCTCCCGAAGTGCTGGGGTTATAGGTGTGAGCCACCGTGCCCACCTGTCTTTAGTTGGGCTGGGTCCCCCAGGCTCCCACCACCTCACCAGGACTCTTGGACAGCTCAATTATACTCCCAGAGTACCCCACTTCAACCTCCTATGAATTCCCAGTATTATTCCCACATATCTCACCCCAGAGCAGAACACTGGTCTCACCTGTGGGTATGCAGAGCTGGGCACAGGGAAGACGGCAGGCCGGGGCATGTGAGGCATGGGGTGGGTGGGGTGAGCTGGGTGAGTGAGGTACTGAGGGCTACAGGGCAGGTGGGGCTGTAGAGCAGTGTAGGGGTGCAGGCCAGGGGAGTGGCCATGCCCCAGTCCTGGACCCGGGTATAAACTGGACCCAACTGAGATGACAGGCACCACTGTGGCTGCTGCTGTCACCGCTGCCGCTGCCACTGTAACTGGTTCAGTCCCTGGGCCCCCTCTACCCTCAGTCAGACCCCGCCCAGCCTCCCCAGCTGCCCTGATCCCACTGGCACTACAGCTTGTAGCCACTTCACGGGCTGTGGATGAGCCACCTGCGGTTTGCTCATATAGCCAGAACCACTGGTGAGCAACCTCAAACAACACTTCAGGGTACACGCCCCCACCCTTAGCTGCCTCTTCCACTGCCATGCAGGCCTTCTCCAACATCAGGTTGTCCTAGAAGAGAGGGGCACAGAGTGTTAAGGGGGAAAGGCCCTTACCACATGGATGGTATCAGATGACATTCCAGTGTCTCCCTCAGAGCTGTCTCATTCCCAGGGAGGCATCAGATGTCAGTGTCAATGCTTAGAGTCCGTATCAGAGCAATGAGTGCTTCACAGACATTGAACAAATTCTGACCAAAAATGAGTCAAGACCCAGGTTATAGTCCTAGTTCCAAACTAATTTAACAGGCCCCTCCTATTCAAGTCCTATATGTATGAGGCCTTCCCTAAGTTTTCTATCCTGAGTGATCACCTTGTTCCCTAAACTGTAGACTTCCATTTCCTTATCTGTAAAACACATAAACCTAACCTTTGAGTTGTGAGCTAAAGGAAAGATTGGTGTGAAAGCACATTAACATGTAAAATGTCACCATGAGAGGACAAATGGTCATCTGTAAACTCCAGGAAAGGGGAATCAAGAGCTGGGCCCTTAGCTTTCCCATGCCCAACCCCCCTGCCCAGATGCCCCAGAAGAGGTTCCCAGATTGCCCATAGAAATACCTGCTCCTTGCACTGCACCAGGGCCCGCTGGATCTCATTGGGGTTCAATGCATGGGCATGGGGCAGGCAGCTCAGGGCCAGCTCTGCTGCTGCCCTCACCATATTGGAGTCTCTTGCCCGTGAAGCCCTGTCAGCCAAGGATGCAACCTCAGGGGGCGTCAGATGCCCATCCCAGCATTCTACCAGTATAGTCAGGGCTGCGCTGCCTATCTCCATGGCCTGGCCTTAGGGAAAAGGAGAGAAGGGCAGAGTGGGGTTAGCATGGGCACCACTGGGGTGTAAGAATGTCTCTTTCATCAGATCGGTAATCCCACAAAGATAAGGCTCTTATCCCCACCAATTAATCCCCCTCCCATACCCAAGTCAGGTCACATGGTTTACCTGTAATCCAGGAAACGTGAGAAGAATAAGTACGTGAGAGCCAGTTGGGAGAAACAAAGTTGTGCAGGCCAAGGGCATAAAGCCCAATCTCGAAGGCGCAAAGGTGCAGGTTGCGGTGAGGACCCTGGTGGCCCCCTGAGGAAGATGGATGTGTGAAAATGGAAGTGCTGCTGTTGCCCCCTGCCTTGATCAGCACTGTCTTCGCCAGCTCGAAGTAGAAGTGTGCAGCTGCCTCTGATGGCTGATTGGGTACATGGGGGGCATGACTCTCGGGGCGGCGGCCCTTGTACCTGAAGGGGCAATGGGGTAGGGACGGGGGTTGGGGTTTCTTTGAAATGGGTGTTCAGGTAGATTGGGAAGGACCAGGGCAAGTGAGGATGCTGGGGAACAATGGTTGGATTGCACTAGGGATGTGGCTCTGAGGGTAGGCCAGATCAGGGAAGATGGGGAGTTCTTCCCACTGACCTGCCAACTTCAACGGTCTTTGCCCGGGCTCCTCCACTGGCACTGGCCCGACGACTTCCACTGGAGGATGAGGAACCCAGGGAGTCCGAAGAAGAGCTGCTAATGCTGTCACTGTCCTGTCCTCGACCCCAGGAGGTGGGGGCCCAGCCTCCTCGAAGTGGTCTCCGGCTTAAGGTAGGGGAGCTATCCGATGTTGTTTCAGGGGCACTGCTGTCAATGCTGGCCATGCCTAACCACCCCCCCGCAAGACAAATCAGTCTCAGAAGTCAGCGGTCTCAGGATTATCCTTCCCTCTATGCTAGCCCACAGGCTGTCCTACCTGTGTGCTTCTTCTTAGGCCGTCCTGGGGAGCCCCATCCCCGTCCATTATAGCCTCCACGACTGCCAAGTGCCAAGCGGCTTGGAACCTTCCCCTCTGGCCTTGGGGTCAAAGCTGCCTCAGATGGAAGACCCTCACAGGGGGAATGTGGGGAACTCTCTAGGTGAGGAAAACAGGACACTGGGATGAGCCCAGGAAAGGAGACCCCAACATAGCTCCACACCATTCATCCCCCCTGCCCAGTGCCCCCACCTCACCAGGCACATTCTTCTCTGTGAAGCCCTCAGTGGGGCCTGGCCCAGCCCCTGCCACACTCCCTGGCTGAGCAGGCCCTGCAGAGCCTGAGGTCAGTGGTTGCAGGGCCCCTGGGGCAGATGGACCCCCGT